ACCAAGCTTGGGTGTGAAGAGGCTGAATTTAGATGTTCGAAGTTTAAAGCCTCTTACTCGAAACAGTGCAGGACAGGAGTCTCCAAAAGTGGACATATCTATGACGACCTGGACCCTGAGCCAAAAGGACACGTGCGTCTGCCACGCGTCTTTCTGCCATGCGTCCCAAAGATGCCGAAAGTGCTCATGCACTGCCACCGACTTCAAAGTTGGAAAGGACTCGTCCGATGGCCATTCAGAATTCACCGCATAGTTCCACGCAGGTCGAAAAAGCGCGATCTGCGCAGGTTGGAAAAGTGCGGGTTCGTAAAAGAGTCCATCCTAAAGACTGTTTGATCCTCAGGTTCGTATAACTATAGGGCCAAATGTTCTGCGCCTTCCCAGGATGTTCATGACTGCTGTGAATATGCTTGTATCTATATGCTTGACTGTGGTGGTCAGTGGGGCGAAAGCAGAAGACCAACACCTCATAAAGGCCAACCTTTCTCTCTCTCTCTCTCTCTTTCTCTATATGATACCCAACTAGTTTACATTGAACATGTTGGAAAGGATGCAACAAATGACGGTTTCTTCTTCTCCTTCTTCTCTCTGCATCCAGCGCAACTGAAACAACTGAACAGCTGGGTATGTGCCGTCCTTGATGAGACGACTTCCCATGTCTATCAAAGTCTCCGCACCATCTAGAAGCACCGGCCGTGATGCATTGCCTTGGATCTGAAAGCCTGTTGTTTCCAATACCTTACCTCACAAAGCCGCAACACTGTGCCGCATAAACCCCTCAAACATTCTGCCACGCAGCGCCCATAGCAGGGCGCCCAAACGGTCGCTCCGATCTTTCCAGGTGAGGCCGACACCTCCGGTGCTTCGATCTTTCCACGGGCCACACAGGCCACAATCCTCGGAGCGCGCCGAAGGCATCGGTCGGAGGCATCGAGAGCCTTCGGTCCGGCTCTGAGAGCCGAGGAACGGATTGCTGCTTTGGCGCTCGGACACGAAACCAGCTTTCAAGTAGCACCTTCCACGGAAGAAACACCATGTTCAAGTCATGTCTCGGAGCCCAACGGCATGGACTCCTTCGCTACTCCACGACTGGACAAGCTCCTTTCAAGTCAAGGCCGTCTTTCGAATCGGAGCAAAAACTCTTCTTCCACATCTCCAACAAGTCCCTCTCTGATCATCAAACACGCACTGACCGGACCTATATAAGTCTCTGATCATCTGACAATCCAAGGCACTCATGCCAATGAGAATCCCAAATACCAACCTGGCAAGTAGGCCTTATGGGATTTTTATGGATTTTTCTACTGGTGGGTTGGGGCGATTTGAAGCAAAAGCAGTCGGTTCCAAACTGTTCAAGCCTTCGGAGTAGGTGTTATCATCCACCAGAACTCATGACACGACCTAACAGTTGTCTCGTCCTTGCAGCTAGTTTCTTCTCAGTCCACCAATCATCTACAACTTCGGTGGGCCTTGCAATCTTCCCATGTTGCGCAAAGCGCGCAGCATTGCTCAGTGCTGTGCACATCTTAGCGGCTGAGCAAAACAGTTGGCATCAAAGCAAGAGACACCCGGATACAGAACTGGTAAGACTCTGGAAGTGAACCCTCAAGAACATTGATGTCTCAACACTTGGACTTGAGAAAAATATTGAGCGGCTTGCTTGGCATTTGAAATGGCGCATGGACACCTTCTCACAAGCAAGGGCCTGAAATGGGGTTCTGGTCCCCTCTTGCATCTTGACTGACAAAACCTGCATTGATGAATATCACCGTCGGTATGTCACCATCTTTGAACTTTGAACCTTTCCAGCAAAACCGTGAATGCGCAAACTTCTTCAAGCAAGGCACCTTTGACCGTCGATCCACGAGCCGCGATATAATCAGCACCTTCAGAAATTGGACGAGACGAAATGAGCAACTGCACCATGAAACCTTGGTTTGCATGACGCTCCATGGCCTCTCCTAATGCTCTGTGAGCATGTGAGTGTTCTCTCGAGACCCCAAATCGTTCCCAGAGCCACTCTGACAAATCACGGGACCAGAGGCCATTCCCTGTCAAACATTCCGAACCCTCTGCCGCTGCCACCAGCCTTCCTTCAAATCACATGCTGCTTTTCGTGGACTGCACGCCAGCACATCTGCGCGATCTGCGGATCCTGAAAGGCCCATGTCTGATGTTTGACAAGGAAAGCAAAATTCAACATCATGCTGCACTCCTCCAGGATACCGCGCACCACCCAGCAGACACTCCTCTTCGTGGTCAGCGCTTGACAAGCAGACTCATCGGGTCCCTCAAAAATGATGTTATCACAAAGCAAGGAAGCCTAAGGAAGCTTAAGGAAGCTTAAGGAAGTTTTCTCCAAATTGGCATGTCTTCATTCTTACGTGCTACATCTTGGCATCCCTGAAGATCTGTCCACCGAAATGACTGGGTCAAAGGTGACTCAAGCTGCGACTGAACTCCTCGGTGGAGCTTCGGTATGAAGCAGCCAAACAACCTTGGCCAAACGCATAAAGGTTTCGTAAAGGTGTCTCTCGAATCCTTCACTGACATGTTAAGCTTGGCTCAAAACATGCAGATTGCAATGGCCGTTTGAGTTTGAGTACAGTCTCTACATCCTTTGAGCATACTAATGCAAAGCTGCACACATGTGTGAGCATAAAAGAAGAACGCAGGAGTCAGCCACGAATCAGATTGCTTAGTCTGACATCAAGTTTGTAAGCAAGAAACAATGTGCTCAACACCAAAGAGCCTGCCGGCTTCACCCGACACACATAGTTTGGCAAACAAACAATCCAAACTAAGTCAAGAAGAGACTGCTGAGAATCAAGCTGGCCTTCTCGTAGCAGAGCTCGCAACAGGCCTGAGCACCTCAGTTCCAGAACCCTCTAGTTACGAATACAAGAGAGGGAGCCATTGCTGCTTTACAAATGGATTCAGTGTCAGTGTCCTTTCAAACAGTGCTGTTAGGGTTGGTGGGGCATGGTTCCTGGGCTCGACCACGTCCCTGCCAACATGTCCCATGCCACAGTGCATTCGTAGCGCTTGTGGCACTGAGACCTTCGGCTGCACTCTCCAAGATGGCCATCCATGTCCACGACGCACGCATGGGTCACACAAAAAGCCTAAGGCCTAAGGCCGTCTAAAGCCTGTGAGTTCTCGTTTGCTGCTTCTCAACTTATCAAGCTAAACAACATGGTGTGAGGCCATTGTGGGCTGTGGAAGAATCTCACTCGCAATCAGGTCATGAATCATCGTGTGAAGTTCGTGCTCACTATAGGCACCAACCCTTGGACGGGCGAGAAAAGTCCACTCAGAACGCACTCAAACTCCTCACCTTTGCTCAGAGTTGCTCAGCATGGCGTATGAGCACCACTCCAAATTCATGTCCATCATCTGAACCCACATCCGTCACTCCACGACGAAACTTCCAGAAACCGATCCAAAGCGACCAAGCGAGCTTCATTTTGCGTCGCCCTGAGCTGTTGCCATAGAGCAGATTGCTCCCACCCGGCCGCTTCATCGGGAGGGCGGGATTTTCAACCCTGGCAAACTGCAGGCTCAAAACCTACTGACGCAGTAGTCTGGTCAAACGAATTTGTCATTCCAAGAACTCGAGAACTGCTTCAACAGCAATAGACTGCACTGTTAGTGGTTAATCTTTCAGAGATGATGGCTTGCTTCATCATAGAGCTCCAAGAATCGTTGACATCTCATGCAACGGCTGACTCGCTTGGCATGCAAATCTCTCAGCACGAAAGTGGCAACCGGTGGAACAGGTGGTCCTGGGAGTGTTGAGTCTAAACTCCTTCAGTGGAAATCGCCTGCGAGCAGCAAGACAGCTCCCACCAAGCAGTGGGACATGGTCCGAAGGGCCCGAGCAGCACTGAACAGGTGTCAGCTTCGCAAGACCGGAGCAAGGCCCCAGGGACGATCTACACAATGCCTTCAAGATGTCCACTGGAGTATGCACTTACCATGTAGTTCGGGGGAGCTTACTCTTTTGGAAGTATGGGCTTAACCACTGTGAAATTGTTGCTTTCATTGCAAACCAAACCTCTAACACAGTGGCTTTGTCCAGTTGCTCTTGGCAATGGCAACTTTGCATTACAAGGAAAGCACTGTCAGCTTGAATTTGTGTGATTTGTGGTGGAACGATTTTCAGAAATGAGTCTGTCGCATCTTGGAAGACCACTGCAACAAGCACTCGCGAGCTCAAGCTTTGTTCATGCATTAAGCACAGAATAAACATCCGATTCTGCAAGAGCTGAAGAATAGACGGGTGGTTTCAACTCTGTATACAAATGTGTTGCCAGAAGGTAAAAGTCTGAGCCCAAACCTTGTATAGCCCAAACCTTGTCTGAGCACAAAGTGGTTCAAAAGCATTTCACACTAGCCTGCGCATAAGCCAGTGAGAGGCACAAAAGGTTGAAGGTTTGCCAGTGACAAATGATCGAAACAAGACTCGAACAGAATGCCAATGAAAATGCTGGCTTCAGATTGCAAGTACATGCAACTCCATCGAAAGCTTGAGCGCACGCAAAGGATTCTGCCGTCTATCCCTCTCTATGACTCCCAAGTCATGTGTCGCAGGAGTTCGTTACCTCTAGCGGCCAGGCACTTCAAGAGAGTTCATGATTCGGCCCACATCACTCTGCAGCTTCTCGATTTGCTCATTCATTCTCTGCCTCAGATTGGCTGGCTGCCTTGCATTCATGGCCTGCTCGTACCGCATCTTTGCGTGACTTTGTGTGTCTCAGGGACAAGGGTCTGAACTCTGAACACCTAGCTTCGCGCGCTCCTTTTGAGTGGTGGCATTGGCAACGCACTCTGCAAGAGTATTTGTCCAAGCATTGTCCAAGCATCTGCATGATGTCCACGTTCTTTTGGAGCTGCTTCAACTCTTTCTCCATATCTCCTTCCAGCAGGAGTTAGCTTGGCAGGTAAACAATATTCACGTCAGAAATCCACAGCACACATGTGGCTCAGCACCTTGGGTTTTACCGACAAAGCCTCTGAAAAAAATGATAAATATATATATATATAAATAGATCAATAATCCCAAAGTGGAGACCAGCATTGGCACTAGGCTTGGCCCATATCCTCTCCCATGATCTCCCTCTAAGCTGGAATTCCAAAATGCCCTGGGACACGCTCCTGCTGTCTTCTGCTTCTGGTTCACATACATGTTCCGGCCTATGGCTCAACGGTGCAAAAGGAAAAGCTCTCATTGGTCTAAAAGGAAGAAAACATGGCAGCCTGGTCTTCCGCTTACAGCTCGGTACCAAGTGGCAGAGTCGCAGAATGTCGGAGCACTGCTTGACCAAGCGCGTTAGCTCCAAAGGCTTCTCGCTGGTAGAGGCTTTGAGGACACCTGACATCAACTCACCCCACTGTTCGGGCTGAAATCGGTTCTTGTGTAATTTTGTCGTTTGTTTGGGCATTGGAGGGTAGCCCTGGCTTGCAAAACTTGTGGAACTATGGCACTGAAAACATAATGCGGACTGCTGCAGGCTCGCAAGGATGAGATGTCCCTCACAAAGCAAGGAAAGCAAGGTGAGCTCTTCTAGGACAAGTCTCCTCTTGAGGGCTGCACTGAACGATGCTGAATGAAAATTCACATGGTAATGAGCCAAGTGGAATGGAACGAATTTGAATCATTGAAAAGCTTTGCTAGTAACCGCATTTAGGTTCAGGCCCTACCAAAAGCTTCAGTCGGATAGACCTTAACCTGAACTTCTGCAACCTCACAACTCACTCCCCGGCCTTCACAGAACTCGGAAGTGTCCAAGGAGCCTCCACCATCGTAGTCCAGCATCTGAAAAAGTCCTTCAATGTCCTGGCTTCCAATAAAAACAAACACCATAAAACACAAGGCCTTTCCCTTTTGTTCCCCACATCTCTGTGTGGGGTTCTAATTAGTTTTTTGGCTGCCATCCCGCCCGACTCCGTCCTTCCCGCCGTCCGTCCGTCCCTCCCTCCCCTCCCTCCTTCTGTTACACACACAATCATCTTGTGATCACACACTTCTTCTCATCTCACATATCCACTCACAACTTCATCTATTCGTCAGCTTGTCATCTCATCATCTGACACACACACACACTTCTTCTCATCTCACATTCTCACATTCACACACACAACACAATTATCTCATCACACTCAGCTTGTCATCTCATCATCGGACACACGCACACACTTCTTCTCATCTCACATATCCACTCACAACTTCATCTATTCGCCCTTCTTGTCACACCTCACATCCGCAGTGGCCGGCGCAGTATCCAGAGCCTCGAGAAGGGGCTGCCTCCAGAAGGGGCTGTGGCGCGCGTTGTCGCCGCTGGGGGCCCGGCTCTCTCCGCAGTGTGCAGAAGGGGCTGCGGCGCGCGTGGTCGCCGCTGGGGGCCCGGCTCTCTCCGCAGTGGCCGGCGCAGTGCCCAGAGACTGCAGAAGGGGCTGCGGCGCGCGTGGTCGGCGCCGGGGGCCCGGCTCTCTCCGCAGGGGCCCGGCTCTCTCAGTCGAATCTGCCTGGGTGGAAGTTGGAGGCTGGGTGGACGCTTGAGTGGGGAAGAGGGAGATGGAAAGGTCGGCGGGTTCCGTGGCAGCTGGCGCTGGTTCTGGGGCTGTTGGAGGAACATTGGCGGGTGGAGGGCCGGTGGGTGGATGGGAAGGTGGAGCTGTGGGAGTGGGTAAGGAGGGTGGAGGAAGGTAGAACTGGAATGGGGAAAGAAAGGATTGAAGGGAGAGTGAAAGAGAGCCTGTTGTTGCAGGCGATGAGCGGCATGTTGTTGTTGTTGTTGAAATTGAAGGCGGAGTTGGCGAAGTTCCTCCGCCTCAGAAGCAGGGAGGGCAGTGAGTGGTGTAGCCGGAGGAGGTTGAAATGCCTGTGGTGGAGTGGTAGGTCGTGAAATTGAGGCGGAAACAGGAGGTGTAGGTTGTGGATGTGGTCGATCGCCAGGTCCAGGTAGTAGTACCAAAGGGGGCGCCACCGAAGAGTCCCGGTCAGAAGGAGGATGAACGGAGGCAGGAGGCGAGACAGGTGTGCCGTGCGAAGTGGCACGAGGAGCTGAGCGAGGTGTTGGCTGGTATGCCCGTGCTCTGCCATGATGATGGCTGGAATGGCAAGATCTGGAACGTGTTGGGGGAAGGTTGGAGGTGCGACGATGCTCCTGGGGGGGAAATGGTTGCTCTCGTTGGTGTGTGCGAGAGCGGTGTCGCCGAGAATGTGAACGGCGACTGTGACGGTCGTCCCGTCGGGAGCGTGATGCTGCAGGTGAGCGGTGTCGATGTCCACGGTGTCGGCGAGAGTGGGCAGAGCGGCTCCTGGGAGAACGACGTCGATCATGGTGTCGTGTAAGTGGTGAACGTGTCGTTCGCGATGTGCGATGGTCGCGGGGAGAAGGTTGCCTGGGGCGTGGTCGCGGCGCATATGGATTGAGGCGCGGTGGGCCCGTGGCACGTGGGTGAGAAAGTGGAGGTCGTGGGCGTGGTGCTTGGACGCGTGGTGGTGGGAAGAATGGACCGGTAAGATGTGCAGGTGGAGTGGGTGGAAAAGTTGGAGTGGATTGTGAACGAGTGAAAGAAGACTGGGGAGGACGAGGGTTTGAGGGTGGGGCGGAAGTGGTGATGTTGTGGTGAGAAGAGTCGCCCGTGGTGGGGTCGGAATGCGGTGGTGGATCTGGAATGCCGCGTGCAATTTCAGTGCCGGGTGGTGGGTTGATGGATGGCAGGGGAGTGATCTCTTCGTCACCATAATCAGCTTCTTCATGATGAGCAGGAGGTCTGGTATCCCTGGAGCGAGAACTGCGGCGAAGATCACGTCGTGAATGAGGACGAGTAGATTCCAGAGAAGAACCAGAGCTCGCCATGAGGTCAGAAAACGCCCGGAGATAGAAGCAAATGGAATAACACCCCAAAATGTGAGTGAAAAAAGAATGAAATTCAACGTGTAAAAATGCTTGTCACAAGGTCTAGAGCCATAAGGAAAGAGAAGGAAATAAAATGTGAACTGGAAAATACAGGAAAGAGGTGGAAGGGATAAACAGAATGATGCGCAGTGTAAGACATTCCTTTTGTGCTGTCTGGCAAGGTGTGAGGTGAAACTGAGAGGCTAAGATCTGGTCGTACGAGGGCGAGAGCGAGATCTCGAGCGTATGTGAAGACGAGGTCGTGGTACATGGCGAGAGGGCGGAGGACTAGGAGAGATAGGCATCCGGGCAGTGGTGTTGTGGGTCCTGGTAGTTCGCGATGAAGTCGTAATAGGGTGAGGCGTATCAGATTGTGTAGAGAGGGGCGCCCGATCGCCAAAGTCTGTGTGGCCTTCAAGTTCGTCTTCAAGTTGTTCCGGGCTCTGTTGAATAATATGAAGGAGGCCCAGGGCGGTAAGGAGCTCATGGGTGTAGTGGACAGCGGTGTGGTTGAGACGAAGAGCGAGAAGGAGCGTATTGTCCAAGCCTTCAAGGTGAGCTCGAAGTTGTGGGTGTGTTACCCGAGACATGAACGGAATAGCGCGAATGCTGAGTGGGATGTGGAGCAGGGCATGGACCTGGGCCAAGAGGACATGTACGAGTAGAAGTTCACGATGTAGCATTGCCTGAGCACGAGGTGGAAGACCTGGAATCGGTGCCAAACCACAAGGTGGTGTAGATGTCGAAGCCATGGCAGAAAAGGCAATAAGAAACGCGGGAGCGAGACGAGCAGTCGCTAGCGAGCCGAAGATAACATAGGAAAAGAGATAGGAGTAAGGTCGGCGAGGAAACCGAAGGACCAAATTGAAAATAAATGGGTGATCAATCATAAAGCAGAAAACAGTGGACAAGGAAAGCTTTTTTCTGCAAAAAAGTAAGTGGTTCGGTTGGTGAGAAATCGGCTAAAGTCTGAATCGTCGCGGAGGGGATCGTGAACGAGAGGGTGAGTGAGAACTTGGCATCCTCGTCAAGGTCGTAGGTGGAACCGAAGGAGTCAGAGAAGGAGGAGGGGCTTGAGGAGGAGAGGGATCCGCGGTCGTAGTCATCGTCGTCGTCACAGGTGGAGAAGGAGGAGAAGGAAAGAGGATAAGAGAGGGTCTGGGTGAAGAAAAGGATGTAGGAGAGGAAACCGAGTGGCCAATAGGATGTGGAAATGCCAAAGTGGAGCATAGTTGATCGGCGTAGACCAATGTAGTGCAGGTAGATCGTCGAATCTGTTCAATGCTGGTCTCCAGTGCACGAAGGGTAGCGCTGAGACGAGGGCAGGTGATCGTGTCCACAATGGAGGGAGTGACGGAATCCAGAGGTCCACGTAAGATCAGAAGAATCAAGTGTAAAGAAGAGTGTATGTGAAGGAGTTCACGATGAAGTACCTCATGAGCAGCAGCAGGTAGGCCGGCGATTGAGGCCAATCCCGTAGGTCTAGTCGGGGTCGTCGTGGATGGCATCGACATGGCGGCGAAAAGGAGCGAGGAGTGCGAGCTCGAAGGGGTGAGGTATAGGGCGTGGGAAAGCTGAGAGCCACACGAAACAAATGCGTAGAGTTGTGAGAAGGTGTCTCTAAGCACATGAGCAAGTTGGAAACATAAAAGGGAAGGACATTTTCTCTCGTGATTGGAAGAGTGAGCGAAAGAGGTATCTAGAGATTTCTAGAGTTCAAACGAGGGTGAGACCGAGAGCGTGACGGTGCGGTACTGGATCGATTAATCACAGGCCGATGCGGAGTACGAATTGTAGGGGTTCTCGGTGGCGGAATCGGTGGTGCCGCCGGAATGGAACTGGTAGATGTCATACTTTGAGTCGTAGTCGGGCCCAGAGGAGAAGCAGGAAAAGACGGAAGGCGGGGGTCAGGAAAGGTCGAGCATCCACGTAGTTCAGCATCCACTTGAGTGGTGTCGCAATTCAAGGCATGCATCATCCCAAAGGTGGTGAGGAGTTCCTGGATATAGTGCACACCATTGTGGATAGCCTGGGTCGCCTGTCGAATCGCAGAGTCCAGACCTCGAATTAATTTGCAACGAACGACTACGATGTTTGGGTCGGCTGCCTAAGAAACCAGTGCAAGAACCAAGATGCTCAAAAGTTGTAAATCCGCAGCCCATCGTCCAACATGGCGTCAAGGTGGTGAAACGTGTGAATTCCAGTTAGATTAGTGGTCCGGGATGAAATCATGTCAACACATGGAGGAACGTGTGCCGCTACAGAAGCATGTCGTGTGGTTGTCGGTGACGTTAGAGTCAAAGTGATTGCTGTCAAACCTAACTGGTGTGTGTGTGTGTGTGTCTACGATATCCCGAACCAGGGTGAGACCAGGGTGGAGCTCATTGAGCGTTGCCCTTGCCGCCTCCGCGGCCTTTCCCTTTGCCTTTGTGCTGTTTCCCTTTGCCTTTTGGGCCAGGCCGGTTGCGTTTCTGGATTTCTTCTCTGGTGCGATTTATGAATACATTGATGACATCATTGTCTCCTGCTCCGTCGTCCTTCGCCTTTTGACGTGAAGATAGGAGGGCCTTTCCGAGTTCATGTGCTAAGACATCTTAGATGGTCTGGGAAGCCAAGCCAAACTCAAGGCGGAGAACGAAATGGTTTTTGGCCCTGATCCATGACTGGGAAGCGTCGTCAAAAGTGCCTCTGGTACGGTTGGGACTGATGAAACGCGTACTGTGTTCCAACGCTGGGCACAGCGTATACCATTGATCCACTACCGCCGAGCTTTGAAGGTCGGGGTTGGCCTTATGCCAGTCAGATGATGTTTGGTCAGATGGTATTGGGTAGGGCAGATGCAGAACATGGCCCAAGGCCTTCAGGACAGCCGCTGCGCCGTCTTTGCAGAGGTTCTTAAACTCACGGGTCACTTGTGCCTGCTGATAAATCG